ACGAACTACTTTGGACCCATGGCAGAAGATAAGACAGTGCACATCTCGGCTTGAACAGAAAACTCAAGTTTATCTGCGTGACTCCCTCTGAAGCTTTCCCCAACTTCTAGGTAGATCTGCTGCCTAAAAGCTGCCTGGTGTCTGAGATACAAATCTTCAGGAGAATGGGATGTTTTCGTTTCTAAGCTAATTCACCTTCTGCTCTGCTGTTGGCTCAAGCCAGTGCCCTCCTGGGGAACGTGTCTCCAACGCTCCTTCTCTGAGTCACCTGTCCCATTCCCACTCCCATGCCAGGATCTCTCCTTCTAAGCTCCCACTGCCATTTCTTGGTACTTTCTGACACCACATTCTGCTCTGTAATATGTTTCTACCTTATTTCCTCCCAGATATTTATTCCTATTCTTCTCCCCATACCACAAATAATTATTTTACTGACAAGAGAGGAATGTATTCTTTAACTTCTACAGTGTTTTGTTTCCTTTCAATATTGACTTTGAATTATGTTTTGTTTCTTCTTTCTTTGCTCTTCATCCTCATACAAGTCCTCTCATATTTCTCTTAAATTTTTATATTAATTATTCCTTATTATGCAGCAAAATTCTCTGCTCTTTACTATCATTTTCACATTTGACAAATCATTTAACCCGCCCAGGTTAAATGAGGGAGCTAGCCCACAACTCTAAGATCCCTTCTAATTCTAAATCAATCAATTAATATTAAGCACCTACTATGTGCCAGGCACTGGACTAAGTGCTGGGATATAAAAAGAGGCAAAAAACAGTTTCTGGCCTCAAGGAGCTTACAATATAATGAGGAAGATAACATGCAAACAAATATATACAAAGGACGCTAAATACAGGACAAAATAGGAAATAAAAGAAGGAAGACACTAGAATAAAGAAGAATTGGGAAGGTTTCCCATAAAAGATGGGATTTTATGTTTTCCATGACTACACACATGTAACCTATATTGAACTGCTTGCCTTCTCAATGGATGGGGAAGAAGGAAGGGAGAGAATTTGGAACTCAAAAGTTTTATAAACCAATGTTAAAAATTGTTTTTATAGGTAACTGGGGGAAAAAATAAAAACTTAAAAAAAGATAAGATTTTAGTTGCGATTTATCCTTAACTATTTTAAGTCCTTATGACCTCACATCAGATAGCCACAACAGTATGCTAGAGGATCATTTACTCCCAAGCTTCTCTTTTGAATTCATCTTGTATAACAGACACTGCCAAATTAATTTTCCTAAAACAGTATTTTCTTTATGACATCCACCTGCTCAAGAACCTGAACTTGCTCCCTACTGCTCATGGGCATCAAACTTAAACTCCTCTGAGACTAACTTTCAAAGTCCTTCACAATCTAGTCTCACTGTAAAGACCCAATCTACTTCTTAACAGAAGACTCTCACTTAAATAATTTTCATTTCTTTACTGCTCCTGGCATATTCTACCTCTTTAAGTGAAATTCTCTTCCTCCAAGGCCCAGCTCAAATCCATCCAAGGCTGATGCTTCCTTATCTTTCCAGCCTAATCTCAGACTGATCCTTTTATAGGTGCTAAGCTCCAGCCAAACAGTTCTACCCAGACTCTGCACAGTCCTCCTCCACCCTACCTGTGCTCACCCTGTTCCTTACGCCTAAAAAGCCCTTCTCCCCAAATCTCAGCCCTGGCTCTTGGAATCCTAACCACATTTCAAGTTCCAGCTCTACCACCAGCTCTCCACAAACTCCCTGATCTCCCACCCTCAAATGGAAGTTCTTTCTTCCCCCACAGCAGCATGGCACTATATTCCTCCTTGCTTGAAGTAGCCAAGAGAAAGCTGACAGACCACTTGCTGAGGACGTCATAGAGGGGCTCCTAGTTCAGGTACAGGCTGGCCTAGATGGCTTGTAAAGTCCTTTCCAACACAAAGTTTCTATGATTTAAAAAAAAAATACCATTCGAGGTGCACAAAAATACAAAGACAAAAATGCCATCCAGGAGTCTTCAGATCTTGAAGAGCACTTTTGACCTGTCTTGTGCTCTTCACTTCTGCACTAGAGTGACTACATAGTACTGCACAATTGGGAACACATCTGATTGTTCCAAGCCCATCCTAAAATGTAAGCCTCCCTGAGAGCAGGGAACACCCTTTTCTATCTTTATCCCCGCCCCATCCCCAACCTAGCTTGGTGCTCCCTGTACATGTCAGCCAGATAATAAATGGTTGCTGAATGAATTTGAGCTTCATGATAACCCTGCCAGGTAAGACAGGCATTACAACAGGTTTGGTTTTGGGGGATTTTTGGGGGGGGAGGGTGAAAACTTATGATTTCATCAGAGAGGGAGTTCCCCGCAACCTCTACCAATTTGAAGTTGCAACTGTTTATTGAAACTGAAATTTGCCATCCTGGTGGCCTGTGAAACAAAGTGCTTAAAGGCATTGCCTAGATATATCAGACCAGATTACCTGGTTCCAAAGCTGACCTCTCAAGCCATTGCCTCAGACTACACCCCTTCTTAATCCCATTTTTCAGGTAAAGAAAATAAGCCTCAGCCAATGCCAGAATTTGTTTTATGTGATTATACATATTTGTTACAAAGGTTTTGTTTTGCTCTCTTTTTCAGGAGGAGGGGAAATGGAAGGGGGGGAAAAAGTGCATGTTCACTATTGGAACAAAAATAAAATTACATTAAAAATGAGTGATGAGGAGGTTCACTGCCCACAGCTATGGGACTAGAAAGATGTCAACACCAAACCAAAAGCTATCAAACTTTCACCAGCCAGTGATCCTTCCAATATACTATGTTCTGACAGACTGAAATCTGAAACTTCCTCAATGCAATATAGACACAGTAGATATAGAGGCAAGAGAGGAGATTTGGAGCCCGGGCTTAGAGCTGGACCTTCACTTTACTACCCTCAGACAAGTCATCTCACTTTGGGGCCTCAGTTCCCCCAACTGTAAAATGAGGGCATTGTACCAGACAACCTTCTAGCTCAAGCTCTATAAAGGAAGACAAAGTCTCAAGTCTATTTAAAGCAGATGACTAGTTCCTTGGAACAAAAGGTATTTGCACTCCGTTTACTTCTAGCAAACAGTTTTTGATATTTTGACTAAGTTGACAATTTCTCAATTCTGTTGTTTAGGAGTTCAAAACAAAATGACCTTATCTCAGTGATTTAAACAGAGCACTGAATTTCACTCCAAACCTTTCATAAAAACACTATGAGCCTCATGTTATGGAAAAACTTCTGATGATAAATGTAACTACCCAAAGGGATTTAAAAAAAAACCAAAACATCAAACAATAAAACATAGTCAAGAGCCTGTCTGTCCTACATGCCACAAATCCTTTTCCATGGCCTACTTGCAGTTTCCGGAACAGATTACTACCATCTCCCACCTCCAGACCTTTGTACTTACTATCTCCCATTCCTGGAATAATACTTGGCCCCCTCACCTCCACCTTAGTTTCCCTGCCTTCCTCCAAGACTCAACTCAAATCCTACCAACTTCAGGAGGCCATTCCCTGCCTCCCCTTATCAGCATCCTTTCTATCTACTCCTGAAGTCCAGGTTCTTTTTTTACATGTAGATATGTATGTGAGTGTGTATACACAGTTTGATAACTATGTTTCAGTATAACTGGTTTCCTTTATCAATCGGTCAACATTTTTACATTACATGTTTTGATGACTGTATTTCAATATAATTGGTTTCCTTTAGCAGTCAACTTTTTAAACCTAAATTGATAATTACATTTCAATATAACGGTTTACTTTTTCAGTCAACTTTTTTACATACATTTTTTGATAACTATTGCAATGTGATTTCAACATAACTGATTTCCTTTGGCAGTGAGACATCTAGCATCTATTAAGCACCTACTATGCTCAAGGCAATATCAACCTGAATGGCCCCCCTGATCTTGTCTGATCACAGAGGCTAGGAAGGTCAAGTTACCTGGTTAGTACTTGTATGTGAGGCTGCCTGGGAATGCCAGGTGCTGTAGGCTTTATTTGGGGGGAGAAAAAAAAAAGAGGCAGCTAGATAGATCGGTGTATAAAACACTGGGCCTGGAGTCAGGAAGACCTGAGTTCAAATTAGGTCTCACACACTTTATAGCTGTATCACCTTGGGCAAATCACTTAACTGTTGGCCCTAAACCACTAGAGAAGGAAATGGCAAACCACTCCAGCAACTTTGCCAAGAAAACTTCATGGACAGTATGGTCCAAAAGGTCACGATTGAACAAATGTGCCAGGTACTTTGCTAAATACTGGGGATACAAAGAAAGGCAGAAGACAGTCCATGGTCCCCTGGAGCTCACAGTCTAATCCCACGTATTTCATGCATTTGAAGACTTCATTCTGAGAAGGCAACCCTGGTTCTACTCTGCATCTATCCTCCTCCTACCTGGCTACCTGTCAGGACGTGCGCTCCCAGAGGTGGGGGTGGGGGAGGGCTGTTTCTAACCTCTCTCTGCATCCTCAGCGCTTGGCTTACATTCATGCTCAGATGACCCTTGGGTTTGAGAAGGGATGGGGAGGGGCGTGTCCCTGACTGACAGACACACAAACCAAGGTAAATAAACAGGTCCCCCAGGCTGCCCACCGGGATGGGTCGGAGGTGCCTCGGACAGGAGCCGGCTCCTCGAACTTTGCCCAGCTCCTGCACCGGGCCGAGGCCAAAGGGATGGAAGAGGCGGAGGCGGGCGAGCCGGCGCTTCTTGGGTACCACGACCCCATCCCCATCCTCCTGCTCGGGCAGCCGCAGACGCGGGTACCTGCCTCCCGGCACACGCCCCTCCCGACCCCCGGAGGTACCCTGCGGCTGCACGTGGGCACGAAGGCAGCGCCTGCGGACCTTTCCCCTGCCCAGGACCCCTCCACCTCTATCACCACTCTCCCCCCCCCTTCGCCGCCCCGCCGTACGCATGGAGACCCCGGTCCAGATGCGGGAGCGCCCGGCACGAGCCCGGCTCCTCGACCCCCGCGGCGGCCTGCTTACCCGCCTCCTCGGGCCGCAGGCCGCCTGCGCAGCGGTGCTGGAGGCTCCCTCCGGGCGCCGGCGACGTCTGCTCAGAGTCCACGTAGAGGCACGATTCTTAGAGCGCGCCCGCCCGCCCCTCCCCCGCCAGCTGACGTTCCGCCCGAGGGGAAGCTTACGCCAGCGGCGCAGGCGAACCGGCGGACGTAGCGTGAGCGGCCGCGGCTCAGCGTAAACGGCTTCCGAGAATCCGCGGCCCTACACGTGGCGGACTCCGCCCCTTCTCTGCGCCGGCCCCCCTCCGACCCCGCCCTTTGTCTCTCTGTAGACAGACGCGGGTCTGAGTCTGCGGATGGGACGCACTTTCTTTTTCTGAGTCCAGACGAGACAATAAAAAGTCTGTAGGCTTCTTGGCATCGGAGTCTTAATAGTCAAGGAAAGGATGCCCAGGCTGCGGTCTCCTGGTGTCAGTGGACTTGGTCACTCTTTTTTCATCAACAAACAATTCTGAGCATATACATAAAAATCTACCCTAGTGGGAGGATCCCAAGGGCTTTCAGGAGGCAATCAGTCCACGAATGTGTGTTGAATGCCTAATATTACCTTCATTTCGCGGGTGGGAAAATCCTGCAACAGAGAGGAAATGATTTGCCCCCTGGGTGGCAACACCAGAGATTCTACAATTTCCTAGGGAAACACTATTTCCCAAATTTCCACTGCACTGCTCAGAAAAGACAATAGACACTGTTTTCGGATCGAAAATGCTATATTTCATCCGTGACTGGGCGATTCTAATCCTATCGCTTCAGTCTATTTCTTTTCGTATTTGCCACGTTCCTCCTACTACATGCATGCACCACAGGGACAAATCCATATAGTGTAAGGCACTCTGGAAATAGTTAAAATCTAAGTAAGGGCCCTGTCACGAAGATGACGCCCCTCTGTCTCAGTATTTTTTTCCCAGGTCATTTCTTGCTTCTTGGATTCGGACTTCGCTTATGTGGCAAACGGGATCCTTCAAGATCCTCCACTGCCAGCTGTTTGTAGCAACTGGATAGCTCCTCCTGCCCAATTAATGAGCCAAGGAAAATGGCTCAGAAGTGTTTGTCTGGGGCTTTTTACACTTTATTGGTACCTAGTACGTGTCTGGTATATAGTAGGTGCTCCACAAATGTTTATTAAAGGAAACAATTATGGAAGACTGTCAAAAATTTAGTGGGAAATGATCAGTCTGGGAAAGAGAGAGAAAAGGCTTTAGTCTTACAGCTATAAGCTAGTTTGACATATGTTCCTCCTTGTTAATTCTTTCACCCCAAATCCTCCCCTCTTCCAACCTCCCTTATTACTTTTGAGGGCACGACTCTTCCAGTCTCTACTTAGGACTTTGACCTGAATTCTGGCAGTCTTTTTAAGCAGTCCTGGACTGAATAAAGCAATTTATAGCTAATTCTCTTTGGTTTTATCATTATTCTTTCTGTTGCATTTTTTTAGAGCTTTACTGGGGTATTTGCAAAGGATCTGGTATCCTCTTGGGCCTAAGACATTATTATCTTCCCACAGCTTTTCTCTATTCATTTCCTTTGATCTCTTATCTCTTGGAGTTGAAAAAGACTTTTACTCTTATTTATTTCTGTTAGTTTATATATCTTGGATATCCAACCCACATCAGAGATATTTGATAAAAAGACTCATTTCTTATGCCAAGTAGTATAATAAATTCAAGGGATCTGTAACCTAAATATTGAAGAACATAACATAAAAAAATTAAAATCATTTATTAATCACTTACTCTGTGCCAGGCACTGTGCTGGAGAAGTAGAACAATATCTTATACCACTATGAGTAGGGGATGAATTAATTTTTTTTAACTTTGATTTTCAAGTATTTTATTTTTTCCAATTACATGTAAAAATATTTTTAACATTCACTTTTTAAAATTTTGAGCTCCAAATTTTCTTCCTCCCTCAATGAGAAGGAAAGCAATTTGATGTTATACATGTGTAGTCATGCAAAATATATTTCCATATTAGTCATGTTGTGAAAGAAAACACAAAAAGATAAAGTTTTTTTAAATGCTTCAACCTGCATTCAGACTCCCTCACTTCTTTCTGTGGCAATGGATAGCATTTTTCATCTTAGGTCCTTCAAAACTGTCTTGGATCATTGTATTCCTGAGAATAGCTAAGTCATTCAGGGGCAGCTAGGTGGTACAGTAGATAGAGCACCTGACCTAGAATCAGGAAGATTTGAGTCCAAATCTAGCCTCAGACACTTAATAGCCATGTGATCCCAGGCAAGTCACTTAACTCTGTTTGTCTCAGTTTCCTCATTTGTAAAATGAGCTGGAGAAGGAAATGGCAAACCACTCCAGTATCTTTGCCAAGAAAACCCCAAATGGGGTCAGGAAGAGTCAGGAATGACTGAAGAACAAAAAGCTAAGTCATTCACAGGTGATTACTGCACAAATATGATGTTACTGTGTACAATGTTCTGTTTCTATTCACTTTACTTTGCATCAGTTCATGTAAGTCTTTCCAAGTTTTTTCTGAAAATATCCTCCTTGTCATTTCTTATAGCATAATAATATTCCATTAAAACACGTACTACAGCTTGTTCAGCCATTCTCCAATTGATAACCATTAGGGGATGAATTCTTAAAGAAGGGATAGAAGCAATTACAAAAGATAAAACAGATCATTTTGATTATATGAAAAGCTTTTACACAAATAAGATGAGCACATCTAGGATAAGAAGGGAAGTGGCTGACTTGGAATAAGTTTCAATGCTTTGCAGTAGATTGGCAAAAAGAAATGTAAGGAGTGTAAGAGAATTGGTTCAACCAGCACATGGATCATACCAAGGGAAAAACAGCAGATGTTTAAAGAGAATGGAAGCAGGGAAAGAAAGATGTAACATCCAACTAATCCCCCAACTTGTTTTGTGCTCATGTTTGTGGGTTGAGTCCCCAAAGGGAAGCTGCTACCTCAGGATCTAGGGTACCCTGAGGGTATATATTTCTTAAATTATAACTCATAAGCTTCTCATTAAAGGGGCTCCCCCTAACAGTTAGCCAGAAGATTCAATAAGCTCATAACAAAGGCTATACCTGGAATTCTCAAAATGACTCTCCAGGTGTTAGGGTATCTCCTAGTGGGCTGTACCTCTGCTGATGCACTGATGTGTGTGGGAAGTGAGAATAGTTGTGGAAATGAAAGGAGAAAAGAAAATTCTCATCTTCACCAAAGGTGAAGATCTGGTTTCTTCCTTGACTTCTGGACACTGTTTCTACTGTCTCCAGTTCTTAAAATGCTGACTGTCTACAAACCTAGCTATTTAAAGCCTCCCAGGGACATGGCCAAATTATAGCCTAGATAATTGCATTGCATAACTTTTCATCTAGGCATTCCCTATAGCAGGGCTTCTTAAACTTTTTCCACTCTCAACCCCTTCAGCTGTTCTTAAACCATGGGTCATGACCTCATATGGGCTATACCAATGAAATCATGAATCCAGACCCAGTCTTCAGTTAGGTAGATGGCAAGGTGGTTGGTTTTTTCCCCCGCTCTGGCTGCTGACAGATATACATAATAAAGCCAGAAATGATTGGTAGACAACAATGACTTAGTTTTCCTCCTTTATCTTTTGTTCTGGCTCAAATTAATTTGCATGTCAGATCAAGATGTATCTAAGGAATTTTTAATCCTAAACCAGGTAGTCTGGGTAAAAGACTGTAATCTTGGCTCAAGATAACAGGTTAAAAGATTTAATTTTAATTTTCACACTGTGCCCAGCACTGGCTAGCTGAGTTTGGCTATGACAAAAATGCTGTCCAACTGCCCTTACTAGGGTGAGGTCTTCTACTTGCCACACCATAGCACGCACCCTGTGATGACTGGCAGGGTACCCTGAAGAGATGAAGCTCAGAACCCAATAGCAGGAATAATGGCCCATGAGAGACCATGAAACCTGTAGAGTGATGTGCCCAGCAGACAGCAGTGAAGTCCAACAGAGAATAAGAAGCAAAAAGAAACTGTATTTCCCTGCAAGGGAAGGAAGCCTAGTCTACCAGATCTAAAACTGTATTATAAAGCAACAATCATCAAAACTACTTGGTATGGCTAAGAAACACAGTGGTGGATCAGTGGAATAGGTTAGGTACACAAGACATAGTAGTCAATGACTATAGTAATCTACTGTTTGATAAACCTAAAGACTCCAGCTTCTGGGATAAGTACTCACTATTTGACAAAAATTGCTGGGAAAACTAGAAAACAGTATGGCAGAAACTAGGCATAGACCAACATCTCACAATATATACCAAGATAAGGTCAAAATGGGTACACAATTTAGACATAAAGAAACTATAAGCAAATTAGGAGAGCAAGAAATAGTTTACCTGTCAGATCTATGGAGAAGGGTAGAATTTATGACCAAACAAGAGATAGAGAACATTATGAAATGCAAAATGAGTAACTTTGAATACATTAATTAAAAGGTTTTGCATAAACAAAGCCAATGCAACCAAGACTAGAAGGGAAGCAGAAAGCTGGGAAAGAATTTTTACACCAAGTGTCTCTGATAAAGGCCTCATTTCTAAAATATATACAGAACTAAGTGAAATTTATAAAAATATAAGTCATTCCCCAATTGATAAATGGTCAAAGGGTATGAACAGATAGTTTTCAGAGGAAGAAATTAAAGCTATCTATAAACATATGGGAAAATGCTCTAAATCACTATTGATTAGAGAAATACAAATGAGGTACCACATCACACCACATCAGACTGGCTAACATGGCAAAACAGGAAAATGATAAATGTTGGAAATGTGAGGAAATTAGAACTTTGATTGTTGGTGGAGTTGTGAACTGATCCGACCATTCTAGAGAGCAATTTGGAACTATGCCCAATTGATATGCATACCCTTTGATCCAAAATAGTACTACTAGGAATGTATCCCAAAGAAATCATAAAAAAGGAAAGAAGACCCACAAATACAAAAATATTTATAGCAGCTCTTTTTGTGGTGGCAAAGAATTGAAAATTGAGGCAATGTCCATCAATTGGAGAATGGCATGACAAGTTGTGGTATATGAACATAATGGAATACTATTGTTCCATTAGAATTGGTGAGCAGATGGATTTCAGAAAAACCTGGCAAGACTTGCATGAACTGATGCTGAGTGAAGTGAACAGAACCAAGAGAACACTGTACACAGTAACAGCAACATTATTCGATGACCAACTTTGATAGACTTAGCTCTTCTCAGCAACGCAGTGATCTAAGACAATTCCAAAAGATTCATGATGGGAAGTGCTGTCCACATCAGAGAAAGAACTATGGAGTCTGAAGGCAGATCAAAGCATACTATTTTTTTCTTTTTGTTTTTTCTTTCTTGTGGTTTTCCTTTTTTGTTCTGATTCTTCTTTCACAACATGCCTAATGTGGAAATGTATTTAATATGATGGTACATGTAGAGCATATATCAGATTGCATGCAGTTTGGGAAGGAAGAGATGGGAGGGAATTTAGAATTCAAAAGTTTTATAAAGGTGGATGTTGAAACTAAAAAGAAATTAAAAGATAGTTTAAAAAATGTATTTCCCTCCATCCTATTCCCCCTTGTTAATTCTATTTTTTCTCCTTTTACCCTGTCCCTGCTCAAAAGTGTTTTGCTTCTGTCTACTGCCTCCTCCAATACATCCTCCCTTCTATGAGTGCCCCTCCCCTTCTCTTATCCCTTTCCCCTCCTATTTTTCTGTAAGGCAAGATAGATTTCTATGCCCAATGAGCCTGTTATTCCCACTCTGAGCCAGTTCTGATGAGTAAGGTTCTCTCTCTCCCACCTATCTCTCCCATCTTCCCCATCACTGTAAAAGCTCTTTCATGTTCTTTTACATCAGATAATTTATCCCATTCTACTTCTCCCTTTCCCTTTCTCCCAGGGCATTCCTTTCTCATCCCTTAAAATTTTGGTTTTTTAGATAATCATCCCATCATATTCAACTCACACCCATGTCCCCTATCTATGTATACAACAGCCCTAATAATGAGAAAGTTTTTAGGAAGTACAAGTATCATTTTCCATGTAGAAATGTAAACAGTTTAATCTTATTAAACTTCTTATGATTTCTTTTTCCTGTTTATCTTTTTATGTTTCTCTTGAGTCTTATATTTGAAAGTCAAATTTTTAGGGCCAGCTAAGTGGCACAGTGGATAGAGCTTCAGCCTTGGAGTCAGGAGGACCTGAGTTTAAATCCAGCCTCAGACACTTAACACTAGCTGTGTGACCCTAGGCAAGTCACTTAACCCTGATTGCCTGATCAAGAAAAATTGTTTTAAAAAATTTGCTTGTAAGTCCTCTATTTCATTGAATGTCCATCCCCTCCCCCATTATATTGTAGAGGCAATTGGAAGTCATTGGAGTTGGATTTTGTTATTTCTTGATGTCTCATAAAGTCATTGGCTTCCACCTACCCAATTCTAGTTTTTAAGGAATTATTTTCTTTAGTGAGCTTTTATAGCTCCTCTTTCCAGTTGGCCAATTCTGCTTTTCAAGACATGCTTCTCTTCATTGAATTTTGTGCCTCTTTTACCATTTGACCTATTCTGTTTATTTAAGCTGTTATTTTCATCAGGGTGTTTTTGTGCCTCCTTTGCCAAGCTATTATTTTTCTCATGATTTTCTTGCATTATTCTCATTTCTCTTCCCAATTTTTCCTCTGCCTCTCTTACTTGATTTTTAAAATCCTTTTTGAGCTCTTCCATAGCTCGAGACCAATTCTATATTTTTCTTTGAGGTTTTGGATGTAGCTGTTTTAACTGTTTTTTTTTTTCTGAGTTTGTGTTTTGTGCTTCCCTGTCACTATAGTAACTTTCTACAGTCAGAATCTTTTTCTGCTGTTTGCTTATTTTTCCTGCCTATTTCTTGGCTTTTAACTCTATGCTAAAGTGGGGCTCTGCTTCCACAGCGCAGAGGGAACTGTCTCAAGCTTTGGGGTTTTTTTGCAGCTGTTTTCAGAGATAATTCTAGGAACCTGTAAGGTTACAGTTCTTCTGAAGTGGTATGATCTAGGGAGAGGTGTGTTTACTACTCTCCTGGCCTGTGCTCTGGTTAGTTAGCAACCAGAAGCACTCTTTTCTACCTTGGAACTATGACCAAAGTCCCAGCTCCCCTAAGGCCACAAGCTCTGGTATGCTATTGCTCTCCTCACCCTGGGATTGGGACCCAGATCCAAGTATGGGCAATGCACCGTCCTGCCTGCAGTACCAAAAAAGGACCCCCTGAAATTTCCTTCTGACCAGGTGTCAGCCCTTTCCATCTATGGGCCGAGGGGTCTGGAAAAGCCACTGCTGCCACTGATTCAGTCACCCTCAAGCCCTACTGCTGGTTTGCTGGGCTCCACTCTCACCCCAGTGCAATAATCCTTTCCTGCTGACTTTCTAAGTTGTTTTGGGCTGAAAAATTATTTCACCTCATCCTTTTGTGGGTTCCATTGCTCCAGAATTTTGGGGGGGGGCATTAGTTTGCAGGGGTTTTGGGGAGACCTCAGAAGAATCTGTGCCTTTTCTTCACTATCTTGGCTCTGTCCTCCCCCCATGATCCAATTGACAAATTCAGTCTTTTCTTAAGACCTCATCCTTTTCAACTTTTATTTAATTTATTTTGCTTTTCTGGTCAGGCAATCAGGGTTAAGTGACTTGCCTAGGGTCACACAGCTAGTGTCACGTGTCTGAGGCTGGATTTGAACTCAGGTCCTCCCGATTCCAGGGCCGGTGCTCTATCCACTGCATCACCTAGCTACCCCTTTATTTTTTTCTTTTCCACTTTTTCAAGAGTCATTTGTTACTGTTAACATCTATCTCCTCCAGACTACTCTCTTCTCTGGACTTCTGTGACACTATTTGGTCCCGGGTCTCCTGTCTGTTTGCTCTTGATTTCATTTGCTGGCTTATGCCTACCATGACCTGTAACTGTGGCTATTTCCTAAGGCTCTTTCTTGGGCCCTTTTTCTCTCTACTCCCTCTCTTGGTGACCTCATTTGCTCCCATGGATTTAATATTATCTCTGTGCAGATAACTCATTTTTCTATTACACACAGCAATATATCAATTAGTTATTAGACATTTAAAACTAGATGACCTGGAGACATTCCAAACACCACATAGAAGGCAGAGTTCATCACATTTCCTCCCAAACCCACTGTTCTTCCCATTTCCCCCCCAAGGCACCACCATTCTTCTAGTGTCCTATGTTCATAACCTCAGCATTATCCTTAACTCCTTCATAAACAGAAAGAAAACAGTCTTCAAGAAGGAGATGGTCAATAGTGTCAAAAACTGCAGAGAGATCCACAAGGTTGAGCATTGAGGAAAAGTCAAAGGAAGAGTTCTTTGCTAACATTAAAGAGAAAAATTTCAGCTGAATGGTGGGGACAGAAGTCAGACTGCAAAGGGGTTGAGAAAAGTCAATGGGAGATGAGCAAATAAAATCAACAGAAGCAGAAAGAAAAATAGGGAAAAATGAACATTAAGTAGTTTAAAAAGTAATGGGTTTATTCTAAATTTAAGTGCCAAAAAAGGGCATTTCCACATACACTTATTTCTGGAAGCCATGACTCTCTTAAGGAAGCCTAAGATGGTATTAGCTGTATTGGGGTTTTTTTTGCAGGGGGGGGGTAGGAGAAGCTGCCATATTACGTACACCATTGACTCATACTGAGTTTCATTTCTATACATATTACTTTTGTCTTGTTGGTTAATTCCTAGATATTTTATGCATTTTTTAGCTATTTTAAATGAAATTTCTCTTGCTGGATCCTTTTTTTTAAATTATAAATACATTGCTCTCTAGTAATGTCTCCCACATCTTATAAAGCTAGTTGTGGGGCTGGGGTTGTGTTGGTTTTTTTTGACTCAGGTAAAATTTTAATTTAGCCCTATGAAATTTCATTTTATTAGATGTGGCCCAATGTTTTAGGCTGTCGAGATCTTCTTGGATCCTGACTCAATCATCTGGTATGTTCGTTTTTTTCCAAGATTTATGCAAACTGAACATTTGGTAACCATTCCATCTATAACTTTATCCAAGTAATTGACAAAAAATGTTAAATGGCAAAGAACCAAGTACAGATCCCAGGGCACTTTCCATTTGAGAGGATGAGACCAACTTAGAAATCAAAAGAACATAGATTTTAGAGGGAGGGCATGAGAAGTCACCTATTTCAGTCTTTCTCATTTTAAAGATATGGAAACTACAGCTTAGATAGGTTAAGTGACTTGTCCAAGATAACCAAGATAATTAATTAATAAGGAGTAGATGCAGGATTCAAACTTAAATTCAGGAGTATTTCCCTGGGAATTAGTGCAACACCAAACAGTAAATCAATTCTGTACTCCCTGACCCTGGGGGAAAGGAAGAGGTGGACAAACAATACAGCTCTTAACTGCTGAAAAAGTGAACTGAGAGTGTGCTCCCGAGGCACTGTGGAAAGAGAAAGAGAGCTGCTTTTCCATTTTTGTATTAGCAAGAAAGTGTAGCCCAGAATGGAGCCAAGATGGGGTGTCAATACTTCTTTGTTCAGAACACTGAGTCCTTTTGTATTGCATGACAGTTACACTTTAACTTGTCCTTATTCCTGCAACAGATGATTCGAATATGGCTTTGGGTACACAGAAGCTTACTTTCTCCTTCAGAAGGAGAGTTAACTCCTCTCTGCTTAAGTCTATGCTAAGTTGTGTTTTCCTGGTCCAGACCTGAGTTTTCATTGGTGTAGGAAAATTCCAATATCAATGAAGATCAGCAGCCGTTGCGCAGCTCACACCTGCAGAATGCTATCAAGGGCGGAGGAAGGACACAAGAGCTGCCTGAGATCACAGGGCCGATGTGTGGTGAGAGGTAAAAGTCCTTTCAGACTCCCAATCTAGCCATGCACTATGCCTTGCTGCCACTCTTCTAGAGATTTACTACAAATAATTCAGATGAGGGCATTTTTGTTCTCTCTCTTCTGAAACACCACCATACCCAAAGACTCCTTCCCTCCTGTCCCATAATTGAAGGAAACATTTTTCCTTGGTCATAATGATGGACAGGAATCATAAGCAGGAAGGCCATCTTACAGCCCTCATTGGGAAGAATAAAATCTGATGCTCCTCCTTTCTTCAGCTCATCTCTAAGCTGAGAAGGCCAGGTAATAACACACACAAAAGACAACAGGAGTGCTCAAGCTTCTCAGAGATGCCATTTTTCCACTTGATTCCCCCTGAAAAAAAGAGGTGAATGGCAATATCCAGTTTTTTTCTAGCAGGCTCTCTGTAAACTTTGGCTTCTTTGTGATGTCAGTGAAGGACACAAAAGTTGTCAGAGATACTTCTACCACAGATGAGGGTAACTGCAGAAAGAAAGAAATGACAGGTTAAGCAGCCTGATGGCTTAGGCAGATAATTTCAATTTGATTCAACAAACATTTGTTAACTGCCTATGTGGTGTGAGGAAATTATGGACACAAAAGCAAATGAAACTCTCTGGCTTCAAGAAGCTTACATTCTACTTGGGAGATACAACTTGGTCCTAGACACACAAAAACAAAGTATATACAAAGTAGAATGAAGTTATTTCAAGAATGATGGTGTGCCAACAACCAGAAGGATCAGCAAAGGTCTCAGGTAGGAGGTAGCACCAGAGGGAACTAGGGAGGATGCTTTAGGCATGGAAAGGTATACCCATGAAAGAACATGGAGAGGGGCAGGTAGAATGAGGTCCATAGGAAACAGCCAGAAGGCCTGTGTGACTAGAAATGGAGCACGCAAGAAGTAAACAATGAAATAAGACAGGAAAGGCAGGCAGTGGCCAGTGTGCGTAAGGTTTTAAATGCTGGGCTAAGAAGTTTATATTTTATCTGTGAGGTTACTTGTTGGTCAGTAAAGGGATAGGGCCCATTAGTGTCCCCTCCCCTTCCAGCCTCAATGAGTTAGGGAGACCTATCTTCAAAGAGAAATAATATAACATCCATACTTTTTGATCCAGCCATCCTACTTCTGGACATATTGTGTTGTTCAGTCCTTTTACTCATGTCTAACTCTTCGTGACCCCATTTGGGGTTTTCTTTGCAAAGATACTGCAGTGGTTTGCCATTTCCTTCTTCAGGTCACTTTAAAGATGAAGAAACTGAGGCAAGCAGGGTTAAGTGACTTGCCCAGGGTCACAGAACTAATAAGTGTCTGAGGCCAGATTTGAATTCAGGAAGATGAATCTTCCTGACTCTAGTTCTAGCCCTCTTTCCACTGTGCCACCTAGTTGCTCCTACTGGACATATATCCCAAGGAAGTAAAAACTAGGGACAAAAACTGGAGGTAAACCAAAATATTCATAGCAGCACTCTGTTCTGACAAAGAACCAGAAACAAAGTTGGTGCCCATTACCTGGGGAATAGCTGGAAAAAGTATGGCAAATGAATATGATAGAATATTGTTATACAGTAAGAAATGATAAATATGAGGAATTCAGAGAAACATTGGAAGATCTGTATTAAGTCATCCACATGAAAATAATCTGATCCAAGCGAACAATTTACACAATAGCTGCAATGACATAAAATTAAAAGATCCAGCCTGTCTCTTACCACCCAATGACAGTGGTTGGGGGTGGAGGTGTAGGATAAGGGGGGGAGCAAGTATTAAGACAGAATCTCATATATACTGTCACTAATAGATCTTACATGGTCTTAGGTAGGGCCCTGCTGCTCAATTGTTTTTGTCTCAAGCTGGGGTTTAAATGAGTAAGAAGGGGGAAGCTTTTACATCCATGATGTGAAGACAATAGGCATCAATAAAACATATTTAAATAAAGGCAAAAAGTCAGGGAAAATAAAAGGGAGCATCTCTAGCCTTTTATTTTCAGTCTTGTAATGGGATCAGCAGCCAGCATGCAAGGAGCTGAGAAGTGGGAGATGAGGAAAGGCAAGCAAGGGGTCTAAGTTCCATCGAGGTTCTCAGCTGCATGGGTGCAGACTGCAACTCAACTATACCTCTCCCAGTGAAGAAAGACTAAAAGGAAATAGCTACAGTGCTGTAACTCTTTCCAGCTTTCAGCTTACAGTAGAATCCCAGATAGTACTTTATTTTTAAAATACTGAAATGGATGTCACGCTGCCAACTCAAACACACAGGCCACCAAAAACTTGTGTATTGTCTGTGATGGCTAGACCATGAAAAACTATAACCCCCTTAGGAGGAACACAGCTTTTCCCCCATGGAAGCCTACTTGAGAGCACAGAAAACCCTATGGCTCCACTGCTGTTCTTCCCTTACACCCCCATCAGATCCCACAACACTTCAGGGTCCACAAAAGCATGGCATACATGTGCTATGTTTGTGAAACTGGGGATTAACAGTCTTCTCTTCTCCAGTAAGTTAAGTACAAGTAAAGCTTTTTCAAAAACTCCTTCAAACGTTTCCCTATACATTGAGAAAACTGAGTCATCAAATGGCATTAATATAAAACAGCTAAGGACTGGGTATACCCACAAATGTAGAAGCTGAATCAAAAAGGTAGGGGAGTCTGAAATCGGTTCAATCTTTTTTTGAAGAAGCACTTGCCAAAAGTATCAGTTCATTTTGTGCCTTTTACAAAGTAGGCTAAATATTGATCTGGAACATATCCTGACAGACCTTTTTTTTTTTTTAGTTTTTAGGCAATTTGGGGTTAAGTGACTTGCCCAGGGTCACACAGCTAGTAAGTGTCAAGTGTTTGGTCTGAGGCCAGATTTGAACTCAGGTCCTCCCGACTTCAGGGCCGGTGCTCTATCCATTGTGCCACCTAGCTGCCCCCCTGACAGACCTTAACAGATCTTTAGCAAAATTTCTGCACATTCATGTCTGAAGAGGCTCTGATACCTCTGGGGTCCACCTAATCCAGAATGGGGCAGAGTTTGAGATGAGGACCCACTTAAATAGGTCCTGGGGCCTGAGGGGAGTTCTGAGATGCAGTGGGCTCTAGCCCATCAGGTGTATGGATTAAATCCAACACCAATATGGTCAGCCCTCAAGGTATGGAAGGTCATCAGTCTGGTACAGAAATGGAAGTCAAAGCTTGTGTCAATCAGTAGTGGGACTGGTTTCATGAGTGACTGTTGCACTTCCAGCCTACATGAAATACGGAGAACAAGGCTTAGAAAAAAAAAAAAAGGAAAAAGTTGGATCACTGAGATAATCTCAAGTCCAAATGACTCCAGTGGTGAATATGGACTCAGAAGGTCTCTCTGGATCTATCTTGTGAAAAAAACCCATCCCTTTAAAGTCGTGCTAGTTGGAGACACTCTGTGATCAGAGCTCCAAACAATTCTGTGGCTAAAGCTGCTTCAGGATGTTGAGATTTACTCACCAGAAACTACTGCTACTTTCTATCTCTGTAATTCCCACCTTAGTTGGCCTATTGCCTATTTCCATCTACAAGGACTAATTTCTGTACCACAGGATCCATAGAAAAGCCAGGGCAGGGACAGGAGACTGCTTCTATGATCCTGCCTTATTGACGCTGGCAATAGCCTATTACAGATTAGCTGGTCTATCTGCCTCTGTAAGTTCAAACTGCTTGTGCCTGATGCACCACAGGATCCATAGAAAAGCCAGGGCAGGGACAGAGACTGCTTCTATGATCCTGCCTTATTGACGCTGGCAATAGCCTATTACAGATTAGCTGGTCTATCTGCCTCTGTAAGTTCAAACTGCTTGTGCCTGATCTCTTTCTAATCTGAACATCTTTAAGGCTCTCGGACGTCTAGTCTTCCCCGAGTTCCTGGCACTTGTTGCCGCCTTCTTGCTAACTCTTTAGCTTTGGACATCAGCATGTGATTCACTGCTTGACTTGATAGTACTGCAGACTCCTGGCCCATTGTGACATATTTTTGGTTTTGTTAACAGACTACCCTGGTCCCTGCTCTTTACACTGACCAGTGATCCCCTGGCCTGGCACTGACACCTTTGGAATCAGTTCTCTGAGCTAATCGTACACACAACCCAACAGTTCAAAACAGGAGGATTCTGATTTTTCAATGGAAGCACTAGACCGTAATGCAAACAAGCTAAATATGGGTCAACAATAATGTGCAATTGTAAAAAGCAAGTGATATTCTGAATTAGTTAATAGGAATGCCTGCCTTATGTAAGGTCATAGTAAATATTTTCCTGTTCACAATGAGTGAACAAGATCAACTTTGGACTATTTGGGGAATATATGACACCCCAACCCAAGTAAGATAGAGAATTTGCCAGAGAAATAGCTCTGGCTATTTAGAATTAAGCACCTCTACAGAATTCTTTGCTCCTTATATTAGCAAACATAATAACCACCACCACACTATAATTAGTGTCCTCAGTGGCTGTGATTTCCCTTATGCTTTCCTAGTATTCATGAAATTGCATCTGCTAAAGATAGTTTATGCTCCCAATTATGCTGAGGCTGTAGTAGGGAAAGGATGTAGACTCTCCTCTCTGGGTCACTTGACATCACCAGGGAAGAACAGAAGCTGACAGTACATGTCAGGACCAGGGGAATACTTCAATACCATCTGGAGGATGACGTTCTTGAACTATTAGTCTGTTCGATTTGAAGAGACTGAAGGCCAAGGCTATTTTCCACTTGCTTTTTCAAAATCATTCTTTACTCTATGCACAGGTACAACTGGACAAGGAAATAAACTGGTACAAAAGAAGGAAAAGAAAAGTTTCTAAACTCCTTTAAAGTCTGATTATTTATTTCTTTTATCAAGACAAAATACAAACAAGGGGAAAATGCTAAATCAGCACATTTTTTAATGCTCAACTTATTTGTCCTTATTGTTTTTGATTGATCTGGTTGAAATTAATGTTTTGATCACAGTTATTTCAAAAAAATGACCAGAAATCAAGTTTGTTCTTGTGGGTTTTATTCTATTTACCCTATCTTAACCTGAAATGTAAAAGTTTTTAATGATAAAGTTCAAATTTAGAGGTCTTTAAGTAGAGGCTGAATGACCTCTTGAATATGAGGTTCATACTTTGGCTAGACAGGTTTAGCAGGAATATTGGACTAGATGACTCCTTAAGTCTCATCTCTAAAATTTTATGATCATGACTTATGGTTCAAGAAACCAAAATGTCTTCCCTTCATTTACTGAATATTTTCTGCTTCATTTATTAATTTCTTAGAGGCAAGGTGATATAGTATAGAGTTGGCCCTGGAACTCATGGGGTGGTGGAACCTGGACCCCAAAAAGCCCTAAGATCATGTTTCTTAGTAGGCCTTTGTCCTGTGAGAAAATTTTGTCATGTTGGAGAATACATTGCTTTATCAGAGCAGAAATGGGTGCCTAGCCCAAGGATCTTTGTCCCTGGATGGCCCAAGGCCAGAGCC